ATATAACGTATTTATGGAAAAAAATATTTCTTTGTTCTTAAGATTATCTTTCAAAAAAATTGCAAAATGTGTAACGAAGCAAAGATCATGGCTTTAAATTCCTACATAATGATGTTTAATGAGTTTTTCTCTATTTTAATTGGAATACAACATAAACCATCTTTAATAAGATACTGTAACTTGAGATTGAAACTTAAATACAAAATATTAAGTACTGTTCAACCTGTGCCAGGTTTAAACATCACTGTGCTAATTAGGTTAGAAATACCTCTCACATCAAGGAGAGACTCCTCTTAAATCTCTTTTCTTGGGAGTTTCGAGCCTGTCAGGTAGCACCCACTCCTACCTGAGGCAGTATTATCAAGAAATGATGAAGGTTATCATGCCCTGATCCAAAATACTCTTGAACCATTAGTGAAATAGTTTGTATAGCAGCAGCACATCAGCATCCAAGGCTGTGCTCCACCGTGCCATGCAGTGCTGAAGTTTAGAGAAATAGTGAAAGAGTGGCGTGCCCTAAAATGTCAGGTCATCGCAAACTCCATTTGTGCCATTTCAGTCCGAGATCTCACAGCAAATGGAGCCTACATGTTCTCCAAAAGCAGTTAAAGCTTAAAGTTCATAAGCAGCGATGTAACTCACTGTATGCTCGTAACATCCAGCCTTCTACACACAGAACCATTGCTGTAATAGAGTATTTGTATGATGATGTTGACTGTTTACAATGAGAGCAGTCCCTCCTCCTTTACCCTTCATAAGGTGCACCTGCATAGCTGGTATACACTATGTGGCTTAACATCATGGGTAAAGAAATATATATATAAATAAATATAAACACTGGCTCTGGAACATGTTTTCCCTCCCTCTCCCTCCCTCCCATCCCTCCTCTTCCCTACACTGAGAAGWAATGAGGGGCTACCTGTAATTACAAGCAGCTGCTGTCTTCCCTGACGAACGCTAATTGCCAATAATGATTTTGGAGAGCTGTAAAAATTCACCGGCTGACGCGCTCTCCCTCTCGCTCGTCTCTGCGGTTAGCAAGACGCCGGGTAGGAGGCTCAAAAGGAGACGGAGAAGTGAGGGGAGGAATCGGTGTGTTTGTTCTCTCCCTGTCTGTGTCACAGTCGGGACTGCAGTTAGCTAATTTCTGTTGCTGACATATCAGAACCCTCGCTGGCTTGTTTTGCCATCCTTCTCCCGCTCGTTCGCGCTCACCTGTTTGCCGTCGCCTTCACGGGCTGATAACAGCTTTATCAAGGCTATAATGTGCAGGTGGAAGTTTAAAGGTCCCGAGGAACAGAGGGGGAGTGGAGACGAGCAGGCTCAGGTGAATGGGTGAGCTGCCTAATAAGCCACATGCATAATTAAAAGACAATGATGCTACTAATTTATGGAGGCRGTGTTTGGCTGCGTGTTGTAACAGAGTCAAAGTGTGAGAGTCTGCATGAAGTAAACTGAATTAGCTCGAAAATAAAATAGAGTTATTAGCTAGGAGTTGCAGTCTTTTAAAATCGTTTACTTATCTGCAAACTAGTATTATCTAAATTGTATTAGTTTGTATGAACAGCATGCATATGTCAGTTCTATCCTGCAAGAGTGTGGGCCATATTAACCAGCTATAAAAACACTGGGAAGTCTGGGTTTTAACATGGTATAACCGTATCTATCTCTATATCTTTTTACACTCTGACATTGTAATTTCTTTTAAGTCCTGCATGAGACCACTGTAAGAAAGTCAGTCCAAAAAAGGATCACAGATTTACTTTTTAAATTTTTATTTAAATAAAAACATGGAGCTTTGTTAAAGTAACTGTTGCCCAGAACGGGGTGCCAATTTTGTCGCAGGATGATGTCATCGTCCTGCAACGAAAGCAAACTGTTGCTAATGCTGCTGAAGATATTTAAAATCTAAATTCGAAATGTGTTCATTGAAAATAATGATTGTATCTGTGGGCCAGCAACTGAGTTTGATGTCTTGTCGGGAAACGTTAGCAGTGTTAGCAGCATTAGCAGCATTAGCAGCATTGGCAGCGTGAGCCGTGTTAGTGGTTGCTTTTGTCTCAGGATGATGATGCCATAATATTTCCATTTCATTTACATTCCGAAATATTTAAATGTAAATTTTAACATTCAACTTTAACTTTTAAGGTTTAAGTTTTACTTTAGATTRACATATTTAGATTTAGGATTTAATATTTACATATTTTAGTCTATTTAATATTTTCATTAAACATTCATTTAAAAAATTACAAAATGTAAAAACAACGAACTAAATAATAAGATGTTAGTGGAAATTTTATAAGTAGGATTTTACATTCAGAAAGTTAGCTAAATGATGAAATGTGACATTGTTTGTCATTTTATTTTACACTTCATGCCCCACAGCCCTGTACATTGACCCACTAGTTGATCATTTTTAAATGCCGTGAAATAGGTTGTTCTTTTTTAAGAAAATGTATTCTCTAACACTAAAAACTACACATCTAAAATAAATAGTTTACTCCAATTATTTCACATTTTGTATGACATTCTTTTAGTACCCTTCACACTCTGTCATCAAAAAATAACAAATAAAAATTATAAATAATGGCAAACAAAGTCTTACAATTCCATACACCGCTCCTACCTCCCACTGCTTTTTGTTGTCCAATGAAAAAGGCAGCAGTTTATCAAGACACTTCATTTTTTACAGAGTCAAACCTAGACAGTAAAGAAAATCTTGTATCTCTAAAATGACTTTTAAACAATCATATCTGTGCTTCAGATGCATTATTTGTGATGTTCCAGTTTTTACAGAAAGGCAGCTCTCTTTTGTTATCAATGTCAGAAGATTTGTCAATTCTCTAAGATGCACACAGCTTAAAAAAATTGTATAATATCATTAGGACTCAAACTGTGGAACAATGGTCATCATTTTGAGCTACCTTTATCTTTTCTCAACCCACTAGTCCTGAAAATAGATTTCAGTTTGAAACAGAAAGCAGAAGAATGTGCCGTTCATGCGTTTCATCTCTATCTGCTCGGGTTTTGAGCGCTGTCTTGTCACAGCGCTGTGTTCAATAACAGGAGAGCAAACATGCTGATGGGGCCGGACGACTGTTTAAAGTCCACACAAGAAAGAGTTTGACCACCTGTTTTACAGCACACATACCTCCACACCTCAGAGCTCTTATCAGAGATGATATAAATCTCACCAGGAAAAAATGAGTTCCCACCATGATAAAACTTTTACTGCAGCCTGACATGATAATTACCACTGGCCAACACTTTGATCTCTGAATTTATTTATTTTTCAGTTTAAAAAAATAGATTTTCACTCCACAAGGTCATACTGAACAGAAAAAAATTAAAGAAAGGGAGTGAAAGCATATAAAAGTCAATAAGAAAATGTTATTAAAGACTGAAAAAATGGGTTGAAACATGAAAAAACATAAAAAAATTCCAACAGTTATCTTGTCTTATTTTACTCTTTATCAAAATGTTTATCAG